TGATCCAAGTCCTCTTTTTTTAAATTTTCAAATTTTTGTTTGATCTTATTAGCAAGAGAAAAAAGGAGAGTGACCGGCGCAGCCCCAATGAAACAGGAGACGCTCTTGTGGACGACAGTTAACTGCTGCTTTATTCACGCGGGCTCTGGTTTATATATTTGGCCGTGACCAATCACAGGCTGCCACGAGGAAGCAGGGCGGGAATGGGACGCAGGCTCTGGCTACTATATCCAGCTGTGGCCAATCAGGAGTTGCCACAGAGTATGGAGTGAGCACGAAGTGCGCACGGGTTGGCTAATTTAAAGAGGGACATAGCGCATTGCGGAAGCTGGCGTGGTCCTTAGTCCTGGGTGGGGTATGGTATGTTGAGTGCCTGCGCCCAACATCTCCCCCTTTCTTTATAACTGACGCAGGGTCTCCAGAGGTCGGTGCCCCTCGTGAGGTGTCACACTGCAGTCATGACAATGCCTCACTACTCGTTGGTGCTCTTTTGGAGGGGGCGGGAGTACTGTTTTATGAGCCCAACCCGCATGCTCGCCGACATGGAGACCGGGGTGTCTCCTGGCCAAGGACGACACCCCCTGCGATGCTTTGCTCCACACCTGCGTCACAGCATGGCAAGCCATGCTGCCGGGCTTTGACCAGATTCTACGGTCAGCAATGCTTGTTTCATACTTTGTCCCTATTCCTTTGTCTGCGAATCTGACAGAGCAGAAGTAGACTGCCGAATGCGGCAAGTGTAGTCATGGTAGCCAGAGCCCCTATTCCTGCCCATTCCTTTATGAAAGCCAGTTGGAGAGTTGGCCCGAGCTGGATCACAGGAAACTCGTCTGGGTCCATCATAACTGGAATCAGTACGAACTGGAGTACCTGCATAACAACAGCTGAAAGTGTACTGTTATCCCAACATTATAACATATAACAGGTTGCGGTGGAGCAATTTGGAAAAGTCATATTTGTGGTGTTTATGGTGGCCAGGGAGAATCCCCATAATATCTCCTGGGAGTATCCATCCAGGGGGTTACAAGCAGTAAACTGGAGAACCCTTGCCCAAATAGGGGTGCAGAAGGATCCCCGGGGCCTCCGAGCTGGCACACCCTTAATCGCGGTGGGCTCGACTTGGGCCCCCTGCAAGATGCGGGTCGGGAGGTAGAGCCGTAGGTCTTATACAGGGCAGCCCTGGGATCCCGTACTCGCTTTCATTGACCCATTTACTCTGAGAAATCCTGCGTTGCAGCTCATTTATGGCCTCAGAGTAGGGCCCTCTCGACTGCATGTGTGTGACTTCCCCTCTTTCGGTGGTGTCTGCATCCGCCATTTTGTATACTTCTCCTTCCTCCCCCTCATTATCTGACCAGTCCTCTGTTTCTGGGTTGGGTGTGGTCGCCTCGCCTGCGGCACTAGGCTCACAAGATTGCTCGCGGGAGGATTCTGCCTGATGGTAACCAAGCGCCATGGCGCCAGCCCTTATATGGTCACGACAAGAGGTGTCTGCGAGACAGCTTCTCACCACTGCCCAAAGGGGTCTGACTCCTGACTCCAAGAGGCCATTTTCTGCTGCAAAGTCAAGATCTCTCCCTAATTTATCCCAGCTGGGGATGGTAACGGACCCCGTGGGACCAAACCAAGGTGCTACCTTATCAACCTGATCGAGGAAGTTTTGAATTTGTTCTCGTTTCATTTGTAATCCCTTTTCTCTCAGTAAGTCGCTTAAGGCGACTGACAGTGGCTGAGTAGCGGTGTTACCCATGTTAACCGGAATTTCAAGAGTTTCTTTTTATTTTTATTTTTATTTTTTTTTCTTTTTCCTTTTTTTTTTTTTAAACAGGGACAGCTTAGTCCCCGCGCCCCTTTACGGCGCCCCCAAAACCTGCCTCTTTACAGCACCGGGAACTCTCTTTACGAGTTCCTCGACCCTTGCGACGCGTCTGCCCAAGGTTGCCCGATAGCCCCCGCCGTCCGGCCCTGTTGCGTAGCACCCGCTACCAACGTTGAGCAGTTTAACCTGTCAGCCCCCGCCCGCCGAGTAGCCCCCGCTATCGGCGCTTGACGGTTTTACCTGTTAACGTCTCTGTTCCGTCAGAGAGAGAGGTTCGTTCCCCGTACTGTCGGAGAGAGGGTCTCAGCGATCCCCGTACTGTCGGAGAGAGAGGTTGGGTCCCCGTACTGTCGGAGAGAGGGTCTCAGCGCTCCCCGTACGGGCCACCAGTTGACCGGCGCAACTCCAATGAAACAGGAGACGCTCTTGTGAACGACAGTTAACTGCTGCTTTATTCACACGGGCTCTGGTTTATATATTTGGCCGTGACCAATCACAGGCTGCCACGAGGAAGCAGGGCGGGAATGGGACGCAGGCTCTGGCTACTATATCCAACTGTGGCCAATCAGGAGTTGCCACAGAGTATGGAGTGAGCACGAAGTGCGCACGGGTTGGCTAATTTAAAGAGGGACATAGCGCATTGCGGAAGCTGGCGTGGTCCTTAGTCCCAGGTGGGGTATGGTATGTTGAGCACCTGCGCCCAACAGAGAGAAACAAGAGAAAGAAAGGAAAGAGGTCTTTAGTGCTGGCCCAGAAGGGCTGCAGTAGAGAAGTGAGCACCCTTTGGAAGGATCAAGCAAAAATTCCCGGGCCTTATTTGGAATTGACAGGGATGAAGTTAAAGGGGTTGGCAGAATGACGTATTGAAAGCTGATTGGAGGAGCACTGTTGTGGATGGAAAAGGCAGGAAGTTTAACTTTTGGGTTTGTTAGAAGAATGCAGGAAGGCACTGTTCAGTGCCATGTTAACTCGCACATGGGAAAAGTCTGTCAACTCTCATATGCTATTTTATTCCTAATGAAGAAATTTTCTTCTCTTGTATTACTAAATGTTTACAGTGCATAATGTTTACATTCCTTATGTGAAGTTGGTGCCTGAGTTAAAGGCAAGAAAGAGCCACAGTTTAAACAGAGAAAACCTTCAGGTCAGGATGTGATGTAAAAAGAATGAAAGAGAGCCAAATGTGGTGGCACACATCTGTAATCCCAGCACTCATGAGGCTGAGGCAGGAGGATCGAGAGTTTGAGGTTACCTTAGGTGATGTAGTAAGCTCAAGGTCAGCCTAGAATACAAGAAAGACCCTGTCTCAAACAAAACAAAAATTAGATTTACATTAGATCACATTAGAAATAGTCATAATCACTACTTTAAAAGCCATTCTCAAGGAAATTTGGCAAAACCAGTGAGCCATAAATATGAAATTTGCCTGAATCATATCAACTGGCCAAACCTATTTGGAATCTGTTTTGAAACAAGGAAGATAAAATATGAATTGAAAACAAATAAAGAAAAACATCTGTTTTCTGAGCCTTGAAGTATTCTGCACTGGGTGACAATTTTTAACAAAATAAAATCCATCATTATTAAACTGCCTTTAACCAGGTGTAATGGGACAAGCCTGTAAGCCTAGCGCTCTAGAGGCTGGAGCAGGAAGATCTCCATGAGTTCAAGGCCAGCCTGGGATGCACCATGAGCTCAGGGCCAGCCTGAACTACATAACAAGACAATTTTAAGACAACAGCAATGCCCTTAAACATATTTGGATTGAAATAGACCCTAAAACTGTTAGATGACAATAAAATCAAAATAACAGCATATCCTCTGAGTTTTTAGTATCTTCTCTGACAGGAGTCATCAACAGAGAAACACTGTAATGATAGGAAATAATTCCTTTCAGTAATAATTCTCAAAGCCTCAGCTCTCCAATTAAACCAGATCAAAAACCAGAATATAACAGTCTACTGCATTCTAGAAACTCTAGTTCAAAAAGATATTCATAGACTAAAAGTTCAAAAGATAAATACATACATATATATATATATATTCACACTTTGGATTGTTTATAATTTTTTCACCCTTCACAGTAACTGAAAGATAGGCAATTTCGTACAAGCCAATTATTTGCTTAGTTCCAAAGGAACAAAACTATTGTGTCAAAAGTCATGCACACATTAAAGGGTTCCGAAACCTCTATCTGAACAGACCTCACACCTTGTATGGTCTTCACCTCACAGTTTGAGAGTTCTCCTCCTCCCATACCCTCACCAACCCTACAGGATGGGAGACAAGTGAGTCTTCTCTTCTGTGGATCCCAACAGCACTCTATAGTTCCATAAATAGTCCCTCCAACCAATCTTATAAATCTTATACAAACCCTAAAATGTATGCTTTCTTCCACTATAGTTTCTTCCACTATAGTATAGTTTCTTCCACTTACTGTTTCAAAATATAACTCATACTTACTACATAGGCACTAGAGCTAACCAAGAAAGAGAATGTGTTCCTATCATGTACCCTCAGAACCCTAAGATAAAAATAACCCTTTCCTTATGTTCTTGTAATAAGTTGTAGTGGAATAGATCTCTTGCTTCCTTCCTGTCCCTACCATTCCCAGCCACCAGCAAAATTCCAATGCCTTGCCTCATCTCCTGCCAAGTCTATATTAGTTAACTCTCTAACTGGATTTTCAATCTGCAGTCCCCATTCCTGTCCCCACTCTAACTCAGACCCATCCTGCGCAAAAAAGCAACCATATTGTTTTTCTTTCATCCTGTCATTCCTCTGGTCGTGAAAGGCCTTGTCATCTCCCAGGGGCAAATGAAGGTAATATTCAAACACCCCAGTTCAGCAACTGGAAGTGCTCCAAAAAAGGGAGAACAGGACTCCCCTTAAACACTGACTCCACCCACATCCCCCTGCTCTCCTCTCCAGGCTCTCTACTCCAGGCAGACCAGACTTCTCTCTGCAGCAAAACTCCTACTTCTGTGCCTTTCTCACATCATTGTTCCTCTTTGAATGCTCTTCTGAGCTCCTCTGTGTAACTTTCCCTGAGCACCTTTGTGTGCAGTGGTTTTTGGTGCGTTGAAGCACCTTTGGGAACCATCTGGGGATGACTGGAGGCCCCTGATTTTGCAATTTTTGCGCCCATGTATCCTGTCTTGCCAAAGAGACACAATGCCAGTTTGTCTTCTGCTCAAAACACAGAACTTTATTGATAAAACAGGAGTCTTAGACTAACAAATATAAAACAATACAAAAAGAGTATATCTTATTCATAATGTACAATTAATTACTTCACTGTCAGTATATATAAAGCAAAAATCTCAATCCAGGGAGTAAGAGAAAATTAATAAATATTTTGTGCAAGCTCTAATATTAACTTGGTATCCTTTAAATAATCCAGTATGAACCCAAAATTAGTGGCTATTAATAATCTATGATATATATTATTTCAAAATAGCAGCTAAAATAATCTCTTTGCCATAAAAGCAGAGTGAAAAACAAAAAATTTAGAAAACACATTGTTCCCAAGTGAGAACTACAAATTTATATCACTGTTTTTTGGGACATAAATTAGAGTTTAGTTAATACTTTCAGGACTTTTACTTTCACCACCAGGTCATTGTGACTTGCTAATGCTCTGATTTTCTTAACACATACTCCTGATTCTTTAAATAAGAAAAAGAGTGAGCTTCTGCTGAATTCTTTCCTGGATGATGCAAGCCCTTCACTTTTTATGTTGTCATTTATATTCTCAAAAAGGGTAAGAATATTAAGAAGAATCTCTCTATCCCATTCTTTATTAAAGAGGGAAATCAACTCTGACGGTACTTTACAACTGACCAACTCTCTTGTCATGGCTGGGTTTTCAGTAAAGTTTATAATTAGTTTCATTGTCTGTATCTTGGTGAAGTGATTTCCCAGAAACAATAAAGCAAAAAAATCTGGAAAAGAATAGGAAAGCAAATGTTGATAATGATTGGTCACAGTCATGTTGGTTAACAGTCTTAGTCCAGCCATCTGCACAGCTGAGTCCAAGCGACATATCATGGTATCATCACACACTTGACAAATATATGTCTTAATCTTGCCCTGATTTTCAGCATTCACACTCAAGTTATTAAGGGCATTGTAAGTCTTTTCCCTAATAATGGGGTCTTTCGTTTTTATCAGTTTTGCAATAACTGGGACACCACCCAATTCACGTATAGCATTTTGATTAAATGAATAGGCTGCATTGTTACCCAGAGTGACCAAAGCTACTTCTTGAATAAAAGGATCACTTGTTCTTTCTAGGATGTTAAGGACCTTTTGAAGATCAGGAGTACTTAGAATATCATCAATTTTATAGGGAAAGTTGAATTTGCCCCTGCGGACAGGCCATGTTGTAGGTGTTGTCTTGGTGTTCTTACTTCGAGCTTTTCCCTTGGATTTTCCATTTGCCCTGCTCCCGGCCCTAGCGCCACTCTTAGTGGGGTGGCAGCCTCCACCTCTGCCTCCTGGGCAGGGCAAACTTGATGCAAGTGTCCTATTCCCAGAAATGTTACCAACCCTGGCCCCTTTGCCAATTTTTGCACTAGCCTGTTCCTTCAAAATGTTGAAAAGGGCCTTGGCCTTAGCTTCTAGGGCACCTCCACTCTGAGCTCTACAGTGGATGTCCTTCTTTATACCACTCTCAAGTCCCAAAGTCACTTCAGCCTTGGCCTTAGTGTCACTCTGAGGTTTGGCTCCAGCCTTCACATCAACGTTAGTCTTAGCTCCTTTCTCAGTCTGTACCCCAATTTCTGATCGATCACTAGACTCCTCATCATCATCCCAGATTTTCTCATTCTCATCTTTTCCCCAGGTCAGTCTGTATACGCAGTAGCAGGCACCAGCCCCAATGACCATACCAGCAGCTACACAGCCAGCCTCTCTAGTGCGGCCCATGATAGAGTAAATCCCTTAACTTGGCACAGAGCAGATTTGCTCCTGCCCAGGATACTCCTGTGTAAGGGATGGAGTCTTCAGCTGTTGCTGGCAGACTGCTGCAACTGCAGACACACGGCAATCTAGAAATAAAGGAAAGATTTCAAGCTTTTGGCTTCTCCTTTTGTGTCTGAATGCATACAGACTAAACCACAAACAAACAAACATTTAGGATACTAGCTCATTCTCAGAGCTTGCTATCAAGATCACTGATTTGTTTACTCAATTGGGAAGCTAATTTTGCAAGCTAATTTCCCTACATTCCAGCCTCACATTCTATACCACCTTACTTAGAACATCAAATTTAAAGTATCTGAAAAGTTCCCTGCCACCTCTGTCCTTCAAGATGTACCAGGGCGGGCTGGGGATTTAGCTCAGCGGCATAAGCGCCTGCCTTGCAAGCAGACAGTCATGAGTTCGATCCCTGGCACCGATAAAAAAAAACGAAAAAGACAAAAAAAAAAAAAAAAAAAAAAAAAAAAAGATGTACCAGGGCAATGAGCACTGAAATATACCCGAAGAGATCCAAGCAGTTTATTCCTTCTCTTTCTAGCCTCCAAGTGAGGTGGATCCTGTAGACCTGCAGACAAGGGAATAGAAAGGAGTGTGCTGAGAGTTCAAGGAATAAATAGACTTAACCAAGGATAGGACACACATCCAAATCCTTGACTCTAGTTCCTTCCTTGCAGTTCCCCACCTATTTATTCCTCCTGTCCTGGAGAGCTTTGGCTTTGAAATTCATTTCCTCTTTCCCTTTCCACCTTCAATAATACACTCCTCCAAATTTGCACACCACCCCCACACTCCCATCAGGTCACTTCCTGCAGAGGTGACCACCACATCTCCTTCTCTGAAACAAAATGGACAGAACAGTAACATCTAGACACCATATTACCCTGAAATGTGAAAAGATCTCACATCCTACCCTTGTCTTAGCTATCTTCACCATCTAGATCAAAGATACTGAGTCAGCTTTCCCAATCCCACCCCCTAATTATACCAGTTTTCACTGCTGGAAAGCAACGTTTTTCCTCCCTCATCTTGGTTTCTGTCTCCACCAAACATAAGGACTAACCAACACTAGGACTACTGTTTGGGGAAGGGCAACAACAAAGACACTGTAATTTTCAGTAACATCCTTCCCACCTTCATCCCAGAACTCTCTTGACACCAGCCACTTCCTTCCCTGCCTAGTACCTGTAAAGCACTTCTTTAGCAACCTCCAGATGTAGAAAAAGAGGAAAAGAGCGGACTCAGAGGAGGTCTATAATTCCAATCAGCATCATCCTCCACCCTGGGAGTTCCCAAGCCATCATCCTCACTCTGACCTCTTTGGTTCTGAACAATTTTTCTTGCTTTCTGATTCTGAAGTTTGTAGTGGTCTTCAGGGCTAAGATCCACAGAGACAGGTGACACAGCCAAAACAGGAGAGTCATGGAACAAAACAGAGCCTCAGAGAGTCCCAAAACCAATTTTTCCCATTTCAGAGTCCTGGCTGTCAGATACATTTTGTCTTTTGTTTCTTACCCTAGTCCCACTTCTCTGAACTCCACTGACAAAAACCCTCGAGCTAAATGCGTGTTTCCCACTCCCCATTCCCATCCCCATCCCCATCCCCATCCTCATCCTCACAAGCTGACTATCTTTCCAGTAAAAATCACTCCCCTTTGGAATCACTGGAAAGGAGGAAAGAAGGTGGAGCCAAGGAGTACAGAAAAATCTTACCAGTAAAAAAAAAAAAAGACCAAGTGGTCTCTTCTGTCCCACTCTGTAATGGAACCCACCATCGTTGATAACTGTTTTTCCTCTCAGCATTGTCACATCCTTTACACACACACACACACACACACACACACACACACACACGCAAACACGAAAACTGAAGAGTTGATAAAAGTCCCAAATTAGGTAGGGTCCTCAGGTATCCCCACCCTTCCGGGGCCTGCGAAACAATCTCAGCTTTGCACTGACCTGCAGAGATTCGGAGCAGATTATTTCTTTGCACGAATGGTACAGCGATGGTACAGTGCTCTACTGAAAAACAAGGGGAACGGTAGTCGCACATTCCAAGTTTCTGGCTTGGCAGACGAACCAGTACACAGAACACCACTTTAATATGTGCCCTCTTTGATTTAAATCTCTGGCATAATAAAGTTTTACCCCCTCCTAGTCTGGGATCTCCCCTGGACTCCCGCCTTCCAAGGTCTATCCGAGATAGTGCAAGGAAAATAAAAGAAAAAGGACTGTGTTCATTTTGTCTCCTCCCTTTACTACCCGCAAGGCAGGGATCCCCAAGCAGCGCTCATCCACAAACAGACCTGCTAGAACCCAAGCATTTACCTCTTATTCCTACCATCAACCACAGGCGGGTCAGATCTCCGGGTAAAAATAGCGAGCAGGGAACCAGACCAAACGAAAACCAGAGTTAAAAGGACGTCTGTATACGTCAGCTCCAGCTCACGTGACGGCTACGTCACCCCCGAGACCAGGACCCCAATTACCAGTAGGCTGGAGCCAGCCCTCCCCATTTTTCCCCTGTCACATCACCTCCTGCTCTTTACGGTTTCCTTTTTGCCAATCACAGAGCCCAGAAATGCCTTCTTGCTGTTGGAATTTGCCTTTCTTAGGTTAATCCCAAGAGACTGCCTCTTGTTCGCATGTCCATTGACTTTTTACTTCTTTTTGAGGAGAAATAATTCTGTATCTTCACTTTCTGTCCAACTACTCTTCCCTCCACCTCCCACCCTCTTCACTTATGAAGGTGGGACATTTTTCCTGCACTCTTACATCAAAAGGGGGTTCAATAAAGGAGATAATGGAAATGTCTTACTTTCTTGAACATTCCTTTTTATTTGTGGAAGGTTTTTTTTAATGCGTTTATTTCTTATTCATTTTTATTTTTCTGAAATTGGAGATTGGGGATTGAACTCCCTGAACTACATTCTCAGGTCTTTTTTTTTTATTCTTTTGTTAAATTGCCCTGGTCTTGAACTTGTGATCCTCCTATCTCAGCCTCTAAGAGTGTTATGATTACAATACTAAGATTGCTAGCAATTTCTTGTTAATTTTTTAAAGCCAATTACAAATTGCTTTTACACTGAGAAAACAAAGTGATGCTCTTTTCATTTGAGTGAACAAAAGTTTAAGTGGAAGGGGAAAATCCAACAAACCTCACTAATTTGATTATATTTATTTGTAACACAAGAAAAATATTTCTACTGGTTACAGCCAAATGGCTTTCAAAATATACTAACTTATTTTAAAATTGAAAACTGGAATTTTTTAACATAACCTATAATTTGGTCCAAGAAGAGATAACCAGTTGTCTAATATGAGCCATGTTAACACAAATGACTCATTAATTTTTTTTCACTATTGGCTCAACTTGCAATTTGGTAAAATAAAGGCAAAACAAACCTTTCTTGTTTGGTTATGGAAAGAATGTATTTAAGTTCCCAAAAACTTGGCTGACTTCTGTGTGAACCTCTCCGGATTTGATGGCTGCTCTGAACACCTGCCTCTGGATTAGATTCCAGTCTAATAAAGCAGAGGTAGCTGAAGGCCAGAGATGTAGACATTGTTGGATCTTCCCTACCCTGGGAAGAAACAAGAAATGTGCTACCTTCCAACCCCTCCCATATTTGAGAACCTCTAATTTCCTGTATTCAGACACCCATCTGTTATTTGACCCAAAAATATACTAGGATGGATGGCCAAATGACAAATGCCACCTTTACTCAGATGACCAAACTGAGTAAATACCATTTTTCACTGCCTCACCCAAATTCTCAGAGATTTAACTCAATGATGCCTAGAAGAGACTGCAGTTCCCACCTACCTCTCTGCTTTTATTTATGGTGCTACTAATACCACATGACCTGAGCAATGCAACCTGTTGGGCCTCTCATTCCTAGCCTCTTCAACTCCAGGGTACCCAGAAAGAATATAAACCTATTGCAGAGTTATTTCCTACCAGTCAACATCCGTCTTGGTGTCTCATCAATTTAATGTATGCCCACCTCAAGGAATAATCCTCGCTGACCATATTAAACCTAGAGTAAGCACCGTATTAAAGTTGTGTTCAATGGACCAGGAATATAGCTCAGTGGCATAAGCAACTGCATGACAAGCTCGAGGTCCTGAGTTCGATCCCCTGTACCAAAAAATAAATATATAAGAATTTTAAAACAGAGTTGTGTTCATAATTGTGTTTGTTACTTGATCGCTTGACTGATTGACTGTTTCTGCTGGAGACTGAGCCCAGGACCTTGTGTGTGGTAAGCAAGCACTACACCAATGAGTTATATTCCCAGCCCATAGGTTCACCTTACTAGGGCAAAAAATTATCGCTGTCATTGAATTCTTACATACATGTCTAAACAAACAAAAATTCTTAAAATTACTCTCCTAGTCAAAAAGATATATCTTCCCACATAGTAGAATTAGTATTTCTCCTCCCCCTTTTCTCTCTTCTATCATTACACAAATTTATTTCTTTAAACATGTGTAGGCAGTATAAAAGTATGCAAGAGATTATAAAAGTGTCTATACACAGAACAAAACAATGGAGTCGTTTTTCAAGAGAGTAATATCCAGAATATATGAGGAACAATGCAACACTAAAAACAGAAAAACAAATAGTGCAACTTTTGAAAAAGGACCCGAAATAGACATTTTTCCAAAGACACCAAAATGCCAACAGATGTAGGAAATATAGTCAATAAGGAAATGCAACTCAAAACCACAATGAGAAATCTCACCTCACTAAGTATGGCTGCTACCTAAAAGATAAAAAATGTTTAGAAGGATATGGAGAAGTTGGAAACCTTGTACAGTACAGTATGATGTTTCCTTCAAAAACTAAAAGTAGAACTGTTGTATACTCTAGCAATTACACTTCTAAATACATCTCCAAAATTATTAAAATCAAGATTTCAAAAAGTTATCTGCGCTTCTGTGTTCACTGTAGCATTATTTATAAAAATCAAGCAATGGAAACAACATAAAGAGAACAATCAAATAGAGAATTACAATTTTTTCCAAACCCTCCCAAACTCTAGTTCAGCTTTTCCATGACTGCTTTTTGTTTTGCTTGGTTTGGTTTGGTTTGAGACAGGTTCTTGCTATGTAGTTCAAGCTAGCTTTAAAGACACTATGCAGCCCTGTCTCAGCCTCCAGAGTGCTAGGATTACAGACATACACCACCACCACCACCACTCCTTAACCTTTTAATGAAACATATCTAAAGAGCAAGTGTACACAATTATGTTTCATAAATTTATTCTTACCTATATTTTGTAGACTAATAATAAATGATTTATTTTACAAAGGAAAAATTATTTTTAAATCAGAATTGAGAGGGTTCAGTCAAATATTGTTCAGTCAAATATTGAACGTATAATGGTTAATTTTATGTATCAAATTCTACAGAATACAGTGCCCAACTGCTTATCAAAATCTGTATTAAATGATAGTACTATGATAGTACTTACATCTGTGATAAATACTTGCTATAATAGTACTTATATCTGTGATAAATATTTTTAACCAGCTGATGTCAAGCAAAGCAGATTATTCTGCATAGTTTGAATGAGCCTCATCCAAAATGTTGAAGGCCTTAAAAACAACAACAACAAAAACTTCACAAAAAGAAGGAATTTTTTAAAACTACAAAATAGAAATATTCCCTTAGTTTCTATCCTGTTGGCTTACCCTGTGGATTTTGGAGTAGAGACTGCAATATGTTACCAAAACTTCTAGCCTGCAGGCCTATCCTGAAAATTTCCACCTTGCTAGCGCCTTAGAAAAGTAAGTGTGTGTGTGTGTCTGTGTGCCTGTGTGTTCTGTTGGTTCTATTTCTGTGAAAATCCCCAATTTTAATACCAAACATGGTACCGTGGGAACATAATCATAACTATAAATTTCAGGATTTTGGAATCAGTTTTCTAATCTAATTAAAGAAAGACAATAATGACTATTGCCAGTATTAAAGAGAACACTGATAGTCCATATCATGATAAGGCAATAGTGACACACAATAGGCTCATGCACAAATCTGCCATGGTGGCAGAGATGGGCTCAGAAATGTGGGATGTTTTTCAGAGCTCAATCTTGGTATAGCCATGGCTGAGTGCCCAATATACCAATATTAAAGATCAAGAATAAGTGTTAAATATAGTACCACTCCTCCAGAGTAATCAGACAGCTACCTAGTGGAAAGCTGATTACAGTAGACTGCTTCCATCATGAAAGAGGCAATATTTTATTTTTACTAGGATAGACACTCACTCTGGATACAGATTTGCCTTCCCTGGTTGCAATACTTCTGCCAAAACTATCATCTATAGATTTATAAAATACCTTATACGGTATCCTGTTCAAAATATTTTCCTTGCTTTGAAAACATACCATCACTTTTGCCGCTTTCTGAAGCAATTCCAGAAGACCTTGTTCTTGTCTTTATGATTTAAAAAGTGTGATGAGAGCCGGTTGTGGTGGCTCACACTTGTAATTCCAGCACTCCAAAGGCTGAAGCAGGAATATCTCCTTGAGTTCTATGCTAGCTTGGTCTA